CTTTAGTAACATGAAATGTATTGATAATCGAGCTTTTCAAGATATGCAACATTTTGAGAAAGCATTATATTTCAATGTTTGCCTTCTACTGGGAAAATTTACAGAAATTCAATTTAATGACTCATTTCATTCTGTTATTGAGCAATACACTGAGAAACAATTGCGCCCATTAAGCGACAATAAACTTTGATAGTTTTAAAGTTCAAACCAAACAGAACTTAGTTTTGCTGGTCAATAAACTACCAGGAATGGTACTTAAAATCTACTTTAGCTATAAAAAATTTTGTCCTCGCGTTTCTCATTCGGCCAAAAAAACTTACTTCATACTTACTGAGAATGTGCTCAAATGAACATTTTTGTATTAGGAAAATTCCTATTTCATCTAAGAATTATTTTTTTTTAATAAAAGGGACCGAGATGTCGCTTGTGGCTCGGAAATGTACGGAATAATCGGAAAAAATTAATTTATCTGTGAAAAATTGATTTGTTATAAGGCAATTCACCACGGCCCTAGAGTGGCACCGTTGAAAAAGAGTTACTAGTGCTGAGCACACACGATTCAAATCTCGAAATGGCTAAAGCTTTTTCAAGCACTTCTGTTGAGAAGGCCGCTCCTTCAGTAGACGAACGGACGTCAAGGTTATCAGCATGCCAGCCCCTCGATGATGAAGCATTGGTCAAAGTAAGTGAAGAAGTGGTCAGTTGCGTAGTTAGAGAATCATACTATGAATTGCAGTTAATGAAATTAACTGAATGAGTAAAAGAGAAAATAACTATAAACAAGCGAGTGACTGAATATGAAAGACTGGAAAAAAAAAAACAAAAGTGATGAAAAAAGGCGAAACTGGCGAAGAAAAAGCTTACTTCAGCCGTTTCAAATTTTTGAATGCAAATTTTTCAACAGCTTGTAATCGATGGCAGTGCTCGATCATCACTTCCTCCACATCCGGATATCTTAATTTAAAGTTATTGATTTCACCAGTTTTCGATTAACTCTTACTTCTTGGGTGTTTTAAATATTTCGAATCTAGAATTCATATAACTCATTCGGAAAAAATAAAAATAATTTTCGAAGGAATAATTAAAATTTTTCGGTGAAAGAGTACGCTGTAAAGTTCGCCATTTTGCTATATGCACGTTATCGATTCTGTTCATTCGCCAAAACGATTCGAAATCAAGCCGCGCCCGTTAGTCAATCTGCGTATCTACGTCAAAACGTAAGAGTAGTTGATATTAAGAAGGCCATCGGAATGGGCAGCACGTGAGGGGCTGAGAGGAGTAGAACTCGGAGACCGACAGTCCACGTAGACCGTGTGGTTTCGGTGTGAACCAATCAACTGAAGAATATCAGAGATCCACAACGCTGCACTGGTGTATTTTACAGTCACTAAATTGTCGTATTTCTCGCGTATGTCCCAGCACACAATACACATACCACTTCACAAGTCTGATAGCATTATTTTTATATATATATATACATGTATGCCTTGGCACATATATATGCACACTGGGAACTGCCAGCACAGCCGGTGCGGGCACCTCAGACACAGTTGCGCTAGGCCCCTCGATTTTGGGCTGCGCAGCTCTCATTCAAAATACGAAAATAGTTCACTGTAGATGAATTATGAAAATTAGTCCTCAATAACAATGGTACCTTCTAAAAGCATTTTTATGTAGAGCAGAAAGTGATGAGTTTATTATATGAAAGACTCGCAGTGTCGACGGCCATTCCGCTGGTATCCGTTCGAATTCAGCTTGCTCACAGTACACCTGAATTAGAGTGAGCACATACTTTTTTTATGAGCGGAACATTTTCGCCAAACATTTCAACCACTTGTTGCCCCCAGAAACTTTAGTGCTCATTGCGGCACGTTTTAAGGAGGGGGCGGGGGACTGAGTTTCTGTTCCTACTAACAATACGGCAGCGTCAAAATAATCCGTAGGGGAAGAAATGTGTACTACGCACTAAAGGTGGGCGTACTAGAAGCACTCCGAGGATAGCAAACGCCAACGGCAACCAACTCGAAAACAATTAATTACCGAAAGGAATCG